AGAAAAGAAAATTAAAAAAACTTACATTCATTTGCAGCAATGATAGAAGAAAGCCACCCAACACAGTTCACAAAAACAGACCAACTTATATGTTAACAAATCCAGACAACAGCAACAGATAGTAAAAAACACAAATCAAAAGCTACAAACACTAATGAAAAGGAAGAAATAAAAAGGAGATCTTTGCAAACCAATAAATCAAAGTAGTGACCCTTAGGCACAAAGAATAAAATTAAAAAAAGGAGGAAGGACATACTGTACAGTGAAAACCAACAACACACTGTACCTTAATTTTTCAAGTGTCCAGTAGTGTGTAGCTCCATTCTTTGTGTCTTGAACCTCAACTGCAACAATCGTGCGTGGAGTTGGGCGGTCTTCCTCATCCTCCTCTTCTTCTTCCTCTAGTAATGGAAGGAAGTCAGGAGGCAGTGGAGAATATAGTGTGTCAGTTAACAGGGTGAACTGGAATTGAACCTGGAAGGAAAGAAGAGGGAAAAATGGTCATATGATATATTGTGGAGTTTTAAATCCAACTCTGGCACTTGTATAAAATGGTAAACTTGTTTTGATTTTACATTTACTCACAAAATCACATTGCATCACTCAATATCAGTATCAAATGCCTTGAAACAATAATAAATACATCATCTCAAAATTGCCCAAAACAATGTATATGAAAGTTTAGAAGGGTAAAAAGTTTACCTTCTTCTTGAGCTCAACCGAGATGGCATTGGCTTCCTTGAGGAAGATAGCGTTGCCCCAAAGATCGTCTCGGAGGGAGGTGAACTGGTGGTACTTCCACTTGCGGAAGGCCCAGGAGGCCAAGGCATACTCCCGTTCCGTCCAGTTGCACTCTGCGTCAAACAAGGGGTTTACTGAAACATCAACAGAAAGCATTAGCTATGCTTGCCAGCCATCTCAATGCTGGGACCACCGAGCAACCATCAAGAGCTGTTCTCAACCAAGAAGTAATTTTGAGGCAAAAAATTAAATAACAACAAAAGGAAAGATGGAACTTTTAAGTTTTGTTTTTGCTAGAGCCAACGGTTGAATTTAGGTTTTTGTCTTTATCCCATGACCTTATTAGGTTATACATAAAAATGAAATAAAAATAACTTAAAAATAAATGGCTCAAAATAATTCAATCTGCATTTGATTATTTCACATCACTAATTCTTGCTCACCATGAACACAAGCTAATGGTTAGTGAGATCAAAAGCAACTCCTGCATCCTAAGGTAACCTTTGTGTTGTGAAAACTGCAAAGACACTACTTGGTCGATCTCTGGTAACTAGAACTTAACAACATGCTAGAGAATGTGAATTGTGAGCTTTTAACAAATAATAACAATAATAATAATAATAATAAAACATAATAATAATAATAATAATATTAATAATGATAATAGTAAACCAAGGAACTCTTAAAACCAAGTTGAGCTAAACATAAATCTTTATCATCGCTCATAAAGACATCATTGTATATCAACAAAAAGGGAAGAAAGAAAGAGAGATTACAAGGAGAAATAGTACAAGTAGTATAAGTAATAGGAGATTAGTAGTAGTAGTAATAGTTGTAGTAGTAGTAGCAGAAGAGGAAAAGAACAACAGGCTAAGAGAATACTTGATTTTTTTACATGAACATCCGGATGCAAATAATGGGAAGTGGGAGTCATCAGCCAAGACGCTAATATGTGGGGGTGGTCTGGGGTCTGTGTGGGGGGGAAGTGGCGCGGCGGCACTTTGCCATAGCATCATCTTTTAAGGGGGATACAACATTGGTCATAACACTATGGTAAGCCACAAGTTTGTCTGCTTTCTATTTTAAACACGGCCATAAGTTTTCAAAGCATGTAGGACTCATGCAGGATTCATTCGATATGATTTACTTAAAAAAAAAAAAAGAAAGAAAAAAAAGAAAATATGAAAAAAGAAAATGTCAAACTTGAAATAAAAGGGAACATCTTAAAGCAAGCTAACACTGCTTATTGTAATCATATAAGGCTAGATGCCAAACAGAACAGACCTTGAATAAAGTGCTTGCTCTGTAATAAAAAATCAACAATTAAAGAACTGGAAAAAAGAGAAAAAAGGAAGAAACTAGTTAAAGTGAACATAAGAAATACAGAAAATAGAAGAAGAAAAAAATCAAACACCGAAATTAGAAGAACAAACGAAAAATATACAAGATTTCCGCTTGCTCTTGATTAGGTTGCTATAAAGGTCCTAATTCTGCTACCCATTTGATAGTCTTTATCATATTCTAAATCATCAATCAATAATAATCTATATCTTTTATACTGAAAAAAATGAGAAGAAGAAAAAAACAATGCTAGTGAATTTGCTAAGCAAAGGTGTAGAGTACAAACATTGCTACTATTATCCCTTAACATCTAGGAAATTCTTCTACATCATATATCATGTACTCTATTCAACTCTACTATATATATATGGATCTTAAATCAACAGATTTCTTATCACTTATCTTGAAACAGGCTCCATGAACTGCCTCTTTTAGCTATATCAGCACTTGCACGCAAATAATAATGGACATCAGAGTAACTCCAAAGATATGAAGATACACTGAGGTCACAGATGCTTAGTTACATTACAGTAGTTTACAGCTGTTTTGCTATCATATTGCTCTAACCTCCTTATGCAAGCCTGGTACAGATAAAAAAGGGCAAAGGTAGAGCCATGAAATATGAAACCAGTTCATGATTTTTTTGTCTTTTTTTTCCTTTTTTCTTTACAAAATATTTTCTTTCTTTCTCTCTAAAATAGAGACATACTGAAAAGTTATTACTTTTATTCTTTAAATATATTTTGGTTATTCTCTAAAAGCCAACAAACTATTGAAACTAAATAAAATATTTGTAAAGATAATGTATCTAAAGCTTGAGAAATTGCAAAATAATATACAAATGAATGCTTAAACTTCCATGTCTATGATAAGCTGTGAGTATATACAAAAGATAGCAATGAAATAAAATAAATTTTATACTCACAAACTTAAAAAATTAACCTCTAAAAGTACTCAAAATATAACAATGTCCTTGAGCAGTAAAAAATAAAATAAATAAATAAATAAAAATATATATACATAAATACAGCATATGAGGCAATATATACAGATTAATCAGAAAAGGGTTTAAACATCAGCTGTACATCTGTTTGTGTCCAAGGAATAAAGCACAAGTTAATTAGCAACTATGTATGAGTGTGATATAACTATACTGACACTCGTACCTCAACCAAAGTTAACGAGCCCATAAAAAAGAAAACTAGATCACAGCACTACTTCCAGACACAAGCAAATCATTTCTCCATGCACTGCAAAATCTACAAAAAAAAAGAAAGAAAAAAAAAGAAAAAAAAAAAAAAAAAAAAAAAAAAAAGAAAGAGAGAAAAAAAATCTGACTCCTTAGTAAGACAAAAGGACAAAAGGGTTATTGCTTTTTTAGGTCTCTGTACGCAGTACCGGACAAATATGTGACTATAGTGCCAGCTCTACCAGAAAATTATAAAGACAAACTCAGGAGTTAAAAAAACATCTGTTCATTGCATATCAGCCAGTACGAAGAGCAAATGAGCTCAAATGGGACGAGTTGCTCTCTTTTCAAAAGCATTTCTACACTCCAACCCCTAGGCCTATACAACTGTTATGGGGAGCTTCATGGCTAAACAGACATGTTCCTCAGCACAGTTGGAAAGAAAGAAGGGCTCTTGAAATGAACATGGAGGAACCCACCAAAGATGTCGTCTTCGTGGGTGAAGTCATCTGGTGTGTAAGATGAGTACATGGACATGGTCATGCTCTGCTCCTCCACTTGCTTCTGGAGGGCATCAATCCGGGCCTCGTAGTTCTGTTAGAGTACAGGGAATGGCATTTCAGCTTAAACTGACATATCTTCCTTACCTAGAGTCTAGGCATATATCATAATTCATATTCATATCTCTTAACATAACTAGTTATCTATATAGTATCAAAACATGAATAAAAATAAATATCAGTATTTCCCTAATCTATCACTGATAGAATTATACTAATAAGTAAATATCCACTCATTTCTAACTCTACAATTCATATAATATATATCACATCTTTGACGAAAAATCTTTATATAACATAGCCAGTAGCTTAAAACACACAGGATTAGTTTATAATTCTTCTCCATGTAAACAGTGGAATTAAACTAGAGTATGAGCACTTTCTCTAAACTCTTAACAGCACTGTCTTGTGAACAACATTTCACTTCAAAAAGAATTTTGGCTGCATCTCTCATGTGACTTACCAGAAGTATCTAGAAACTTTTCCAAAACATAAGCTTATATGAATACATTCCTTTACAGATGAAAAAAAGTGAAAGAAGTATTGAATGAAATAGGCACACTCATAAATACGACTGTTAGATGAAAATGAACAGACATATATAAAAATTATCAGACACAGCCTCTTGCAATTTAACAGACACTCAGAACATAGTACATAATGCCAAAATACACTCTTCAACAACCCTCTTTATTTCATACCTTTCTCTCCTTGTCAAATTCTTTTTGTGCCTCTTCCTTCTCACGCTGGAACTGTTCTTCGAGAGCCACCAGTCGCTTCTGCATCTCCTCCTTCAGATCAATGCCTTGTTTTTCCAAGAGCTCAATCTGGGCAAACTGCCAGTCTGCAGGCTCACCCGAACCTGGTGTCTCTGCTGGGGATTTTGTTTCTCGGCGCTCACGAGCTGAGGAGTTAAAAGATGGTTAAGCATCTTGCGTGCATTATACATAAAGAGCAAGCCTTTTCCTAATATGAATGGGAGATTCAGTAAATGCTGTGAGATGTTTTGGAGGAAAATTTGTTTTCCCCAATTCTTGTTAGTTCAAGATATTTTCTAATTATTAATGCCCCAACTTTATGACAAAATCATTGACAATTCCTTTTTGTAGCTGTTAAGCCTCCTAATTACAAAAAAATACAAAAGTAAATTATGATTTTTTTTTTTTTTTAATTTGTCAATAAACTACAGTCAACATGCCACTTATCATATATAACATTCTAAACTGATCATCCTTAGAATCCTCAAAAATCACTACATCCTTATTGCTTACCTTGCTCTGGGTGATTGAACCTAAACACATGGTTTTTGCCAAGAATGACACGAGAGCCTGTTTTCAAAACAGTGGGCTCCACCACCTCACGACCGTTGACATATGACATTGCCTTAGGGCAAGGGTGTATCAACACAACACCTTCATTGTTCTGTTATAAAGTAAAATAAAGTCTGTAACTGATAATTGTTAATCCCCTTGAAAGAGAATAAATAAATGTCAAGGATAAAAGATAATACAGGTCAAGTAATAATGTTCATTATAAGAGCTTTCAAAATCACCATGAAATAATACTAAAAATTCAACATGCATTAACAATAAAATATGATTTACCTCAAACTGACAATGTTCTGGCATTATGTGAGCACCATAGAGCTGTATATCCTGCGGAATGTTTGACTCAGCAGAACCAACTTTGGTAAAGCCGTCTTTAATGTAGTAGAGTAAACACTCTGACATTGACGGATCTTCATTGAGATTCACCAAGTGAGGAGTCTGGGGAGACAATGGAGAGTGAAAAGTGATGACATCAAATACTATTGTAATTAGATTGCCATCTGAATAAACATACAAATTTTATTCACCAATACTTGTTATCACAATTAATATAAATATGCAATCATTATATGTATTTACCTAAATAAGCATTAATCTAAATGTGTAATCATAATCTTAAACATAAATAAGGAAATAAATGAGACAGAAAAAAAATTACTCCCTTATCCACACTCTTCAAAATAATTCATAAACTAGAACTTGACTTGCCTTCTTTGGAGAGAAGATGCCGACAGTGTTTCCATCTTCCTTCAGTGCTACACCCATTTCAGCAAATACAGCCTCTCTTTGAAGACGTATGCTTTCTGTACGTTTCAATTTCTCTTCCCATGTCTCATTCAGTTCTGAAAAAATGATGTCATACAAGTATGCAACATATATATATATATATATATATATATATATATATATATATATATATATATATATATATATATATATATATATATATATATATATATATATATATATATATATATATATATATATATATATATATATATATATATATATATATATATATATATATATATATATATATATATATATATATATATATATATATATATATATATATATATATATATATATATATATATATATATATATATATATATATATATATATATATATATATATATATATATATATATATATATATATATATATATATAATATATATATATATATATATATATATATATATATATATATATATATATATATATATATATATATATATATATATATATATATATATATATATATATATATATATATATATATATATATATATATATATATATATATATATATATATATATATATATATATATATATATATATATATATATATATATATATATATATATATATATATATATATATATATATATATATATATATATATATATATGATGACATAGGTATCAAATGTTTCATATAAATGTTGAATTTATTAGATAACCAAGTAATAGCAATACATTTTACATATCATATTCATGAAATGAAACTTTGTATAAGTAATATTCTAATAAATTTTACACCATAAAGATGATTATCAAGGATACTATAAAATATTCATTTGTTATCTTGGCAGTATCAAAAATAAATGAAATATTTAAATATACTAACTGTGAGCTTACCATTTAATGAGCAACTTAAAGGCTAAAAAAAAAGTATAGACATTTTTTAAAACTTATTTTTCTTCTTTCATATAATTTTTTCTCCATATAGGAACTGTACTAAAAAAACTACAAGGCTACAGAGAAGACAAAGCAATCCTCTTACCAAGTATCAATAAAAGAGGTCAAACACTATAACAAGAAATAATATAAAAAGTTGTTGAGAATGAGAATGCAATGCCAACCTGCAATAAGCTTCTCATTGGCCTGCAACTGGTCCACAGCCATGTCAGCAACAGTGGACACAGGTGACGTGATCTGGGGGGTTTCCTTCCCATTGTTGCTATTCATGACCTTGGTAATCTCTTGGCCTGAAAATAAGATGAAGGTTAGTGCAGATCTTTATCCTAATACAGCCACATGGCAAAGTACATCTTGGGAATACCAATACAGCCTCATAAAAAATAAAAAAAAATGTGGAAGAAAAATGTCCATGACCTATTGAACTCTCAGCAAACCTATATAATAACAAATTCCCTATGCCACCTTCAGATTATGAAGAGCAGTCATTTCTCTCAGCTTCTTGGTCTTGAGATCTATAATATATTTCAACAGCTGTCCTTTTTTTTTGACCCTCACACATATCACATATTCTCCCTGAAGTCTATCTTCAGGTATTCATACTGAATTCTATCTACACTAGTACAGAGTATCTAATATGACATAAGAAATCCTATCACTGCTTACAATAAACATCTCATGAAATTCTAAGAGTTTGTTATTCTCTAGACATCTAAATTTGCATGTTCTATATATACACAACCTATTGCAGATTCTAAACAAATGCAACATCAAAACTTTGAAAGACTTCAAGCTAAGAAAAAAGTATACAGTGTATGTCTTCTTGTTAAAAATTCTGTTGTCTTCACCTCTTCTAAAACAAAGTGTTTGATTTAATATAAGAACTTACTGCAAAATGCCTCTGGAGCTAGAAGTAACTACATGATAGGCAAATCTTGCCTCTATCACACAAACATAAAAAGGTGAATGTTAGACACATCTCAGACTACTCGACTATACAGAAAAGAGCACTCATAATGTATTGCTGAATATTTGCCCCTATCTTCTGATACCTAATAATTATTGTGAAAAACACTAAGTAAAAATCACTAGCAGATTTTGTACAATTAGTTACATATGAAATTCATTGGCCTGACTTCATTTTTTAGTCAAAGAATTTTACAATACTTTTACGCTGAACACCAATGAAGTTTTTCATTCTATAATTATAAGACCTAATGCCAGGCTACATAAAAATATATGTCCTATACATGATCAATATATCAAATATAAAATTTGATAAATCTTTATGAGAACTTTAGCAAATTACACCAAAAAGAATTTCTTTATGAGAACTTTAGCAAATGACACCAGACTTTGGAGGATAAAAACAATAAAAACATAAGCACATTCTGTATCCTAATCCTATTGCATTCGTTACTATTATTTATGCATACAAAATTACTTATTCATACTTTCTCCCACTGAATAATTAAGCAAAAGCACCTTAAAAGCAGAAGACAAGACTGCAAACAAGTAAATAAACACCAAATTCAAGGAAATATTTAATAACTTCACATACTGATAAGAATGACAAGCCTGAGAATCTAGCATAATTAATGAACTCAAAGACTAAAAACCATAAGTACCTGAACACATACAAAAATGATAGCCACAATTCACAATGCAATTTTAGATCACAAGAGCAAATCTGAGAATTTAGTTATTTGGGACCAACGACATCCATGGTACTGTTGTTCCTTAAAAAAGAAATTACGGCAATAAAGAAAACAGCAGTGTCAGATGCTTCTGACAACAAGTTTACAAGCAACCATAATCCATTCATTACTGACCCTGAGTTTGCTACACCAAATGGAAGCCTTTCATTACTATCACTGATATTATAACAATTCAGTATCATAACTTTTGAATGGGGGGAGGGTTAATGATCAAGATTAGGGTAATATTTTTATTGCAGTCCTGGCAAATAATCCATTATAGCAACTTCTTTGCATCAGGTCTAAGAGAGCAACACTTGTATTGCATATCAGAACACATATGAAAGTATTACCTTAAAGAACGCAGCAATGCATCATGATGTGAGCATATTTCTTTATAAACATGTACCAGGAACCCTTTAGTGTAAGCACTCTGGATGAAGCAGCCAAGTTGCTATGGATAACAAAGACCAGGATTCATAAACTATTAAGACAAAAAGACTGGAAACTCATTAACTGATTAAATCAAATCTAAGATATGCATATTAAGACAGGTTATATGAAAGTTCCAGGAAGCACAAAAGAATTTTAATTCTTTAAGGACTAGTTAGTTATCACTGCTGAAATCTGAGAAAATTTCAAAACTTCAACTTGGCTACAGCAACCATGATGCGTGCAAAAGGGACATGGCATGGCTACGGCACCAATTACAAAAGCACACCACTCAAAAAATTTGGCTCAGCATCACATTCACAAAGTTCCTCAGCATAACAAAAGATTTTTTGTTTTTGTAATATCCTGAAATAATACAAAGAGTCAATAATAATAATAACAATAATGATGATTATCATAATGTTACTGCATGATGCATGTGTAATTGTGTAGCATTAAACAGTCATCTGCCACTTGTTAGCAGACAGAACAGAGGCAACCAAGCCGTGCACTGTGCCGATTTACTCTCTGCTGAGCACCTGATTTCTATCTTCACAATCGTATATGAATCAGGGTATCATACTGTAAACTGCCAGCAGAAAAATGCTCACTGGTGCACCTTAAGCCACAATATCAGATTCCTGTGACAAGAGTACAAATCTACATAAAAGCTGGCAAAGACCACAAAGTGCACCACCCAGTCAATTCTCTTTCTAAATCATTTCTCAATTTTTGATCTTTTGGGTCTGATATCTCATATTAAAATTAGGTCAATGTCACTTTTTTAAAGGATATATATTTATATACCATGATAGATCATTGGAGCAACAATTTTTGTCAGCACAGTTTAGTTTTTTCCTCTCTCAAAATGAATCAAATATTTCCATTACAAGTCCAAGGTAGAGGATCACATGTCATCTGAATTATAGTGCACCTTGGGCAAAACAGTCACGAGCAAATGCAAGGACACCCCAGAGAGGAAGGGGTATATATATATACATATATATATATATATATCAAAGAAAAGAAAGGAAAATAAACCAGGAGGGAACTTAAGAACAAAAGAAAGATACGAACCAAAAGAAAAGAAAATGAAAGGAAAACAGCAAACTGGCTTGAGCAAGGGGAGACCTGAGAGGCGTGGGCATGACTCGGGTGTGTGGTGGGTGGGCAGGTTACTTACATGGCCCCAAGTCAGCGGGGCGGTTTTCATTGTTGTAGATGACCTTTTCACCCTCCGTGCCCGCTGTTGTGGCATTAGGGAGAGAATGGCACCCTCATTAGCCCAGCCCCTCTAGCAGCAATGTCGAAAGTACCCTCTGGTGCTTATCTAATTGACCCGCAAGTGGTGGTAGGTATATATGGTAGCAACAATGGTGCCCATAAAATACTTCAACAGCTGATCTGTGCACTGTCACTATCTGGTCTGATACATTTTTCTTTTCACTATAGCAGGAATTGTTATAAACAGCCGAGCGGAGGGGACAAAATAAATGAAATATATGGTAACATTTCTTAACATAATGCACTGAGAGCCATTGCCATTGTACAGGGAGGGTTGATTAACCTACATTCACTTTATGCTACAAGCTCATTAGGGATAGGGGGAGGGAACTCTTTAACCAGCGGCAAATTATGGCAACTATAATGCTTGGTCTAGGGACTCAACCACACAAGTGGCCTGTTATGATACACTTGATAACCCTTACAATTGTAATAGGAACAAATTTTGGTTGTTGAAGAAGACATGGACAAAAATAATGATACGGGGACTAGAGAGAAGAAAAGGCTCACCTTCCTGCACCTCGATGCCTTCTTGTTTCAGCAGCTCACGGAGACGCTGAATCTCCTCCTTCAGCTCCCTAATTAGCTTGGCATTGGCATCTTCATTGACAACAGCATTGCAACGGATGGCCTTTGCACGATCTGCATACCTGAAAGGATATATTCAATACTGCAATAAACTACATACTCACAAAAAAAAAAAAGAAAAAAAGAAAAAAGAAAATGCAATAAAGTAAATACAAAAATAGTAGACTGCCATAAGAATCCAATGAGATCCAGACATTCAGTGAATTACATACCTTAGAGTTGAAAGGGTTTCGTCATAATTGATGTCAGCTGGGGATATTGCTGCCACCATGTTTTGCTTGCCTCCAGGTTCTCACGCAGCAGCCATGTCAGCACAGAGTCACGGTAAGGAATAAATTCTGCTTTCCTCTTCTTGTTAGGTTTTGAAGTCTGTGGAAAAAGGCTCCTTTTAGCCCCTAAAACAATACCCAGTCATTTTCAAGAACAATGAAAAGTAGCAGCACACTTTATTCACTCACACTATGAGCCACAGGGCTTTGCTACAATCAAAATAAAAGAAATCATGAGAAATATGTTAACATATAAGTTCAGAAAAGGTTTCTTAAATCCTCCTACTTAGGACACGTACCTTACCGACCTTTTCATGTCAAACAGTTATGAAAGAAAAATCAAAATCAGAAATCCATAATTGGAGCTCTCCGAAAACAAACAGAAAAAAAAACAATAATTGGAAAACTACTTATTGTATCATTATATTCACTTGTTTGAGCTGGTCCACACCACAGCCCACACCAGAGTGATACTTACGACTTCTGCAAGAGCTGAGATAACTTTTCCAAGTGTTGTTAGGGATTTGTTGATATTGGCACCCTCTTTGAGGCGTGTCCCCTTGGCTCCTGTGGAATCTGCACGCTCGGAACCAGCCAGATCTACTAGGGATATCTGAAAGTGCATTGTATAGTATGAGCTTTCTGATGATTAAGGTTGAGGATATACATGTCACACCAGAAGTAAAGTGGTATACCTTAAGATTATGCACAGCAAACTTGAAAATCAAGACAAGCCCTCGACTTACATTTTTACCTGCATACTACACCTTCATGTTGGCAAACACTTAGCAGTAATGAGCAGTCCATCATGAAAGCAAGATGGAGTTTTTATACCATACCTTAGAAACACGTTCAGTTGTGAGTTTGGTTGTGCTGTCATTGCGTCGCTGTGTTAAGACCATGGTGAATACAGCATGGGAGCGAGAAGATGTCTCATTCATGTTTGTGGCAGCAACAGTCCTGAAAGAGTGTGGTGAAGTTCAGTTCACAGATACAAGTTTCATTTCAAAATCTTCTAAATACGTTTTTATTGTTATTTGCATAAATAAGGAAATTCTCTTTCCTAACAAAAAATACTTTAATATCCAACAATTAGGTAATCAACACAAGAAAATTTTGCTTTAATTGGTTTATTGGATGTTAAAGATATCATGATAAGTCCATATTTCAATGAAAATGTTCATCTAAAATCACTTATCAACCATATACCAAATTAAGTAACCTTTCCCTGTACTTTGCACGCTTTGTTAAAAATTTTGAATTAACAAAATCAACACATGGTGATCATAACACATTTTACACTAAATTGTAAAAATGAAATCTGTGTCCATGCAATTATCTGAAATCCAAAGCAGACACATTACACTTTAACAAACACTTGGACCATCATATTTACTCCATATATCAAGGGTTTACAAATGCTTGTAAGAAAGTTGGATTATATATTCCAAAAAGATACAACAAATGATACCTTGAAATCTACAAATGGAGCTCTACTATACGTAGAACATTCAATAGCATAAAACAATATTGTTGAGTCAATGACCTGACAGAGAAAAGAGATCAATAAAACCTTAAGATTTGGTAGTCTCTCCTTCTCTTGGCATAAATTCTATGTGGTTTAATTAGGCTACAGAATCAAAATAACCAGTAACATGTACGGTTTCAAAAGCAATGGATCAAGACATATTTAAATAAATGAATGAATGAATGAATATATATTATATATCACAGGATTAAGTAGGCCACCACAATGGAACACAAAGACTTGTGTGGTGGAGGACAATTCAAGCTCTTCATTCTAAAGCTGCAAATATATTGGTGTAGAACTTTGGAGTGAGCAAAACAAAAATAAACTCTCCAGTAGAAACATGTTACTGGGCCAAAGAAGTTTACTGCCTACAAATGTCACCCTGTTTATTAATTCAGTGGAAATAAAGACTCCTAACAAAAGGTATTCATTCAGGTAGGGAATATTATATTGAGCAACAGACCTAACAGCAACTACTTTCGTAGGAGAATGTACCAAAATTTGCACTACCTCCCTTACTCAGGCCAAGTACGATCTCCCTAATATTCTGCTCAAGCAAAATACTTTCTAAATTAATTCTCCCTTAGATATCACTCCATCAACCCAAACAAATTTACTTCCTCCCTCATATTTTACCTAGTCAACATACTGTCTCCCTCATTACTTTCTCACACTTTACAAAATATTCTCCCCATTACTTTACATGTGTTGCACACTTACAAATCAGAGGAACCTACCTTGCTTTGTTGCCTTCATCAATAAGATTGTTGATATCATCGAAAGTTGTGACAGCAAGCTTGGCTAAGTCTTCAACATAGGGTCCAAGAAGGGGGTGCTCACGGACTCGGAGGTTCTGGGTCTTTGGGTTGAGTAAATCTCGTACACGTTCACAGTAGATTTCCATGTAGCTCACCTGCATCATCATCCATATCTCAATTTTTTCATCATAATATCCTGAGCATATATTAGCCAAATAAGTCATATCTAATAAGGTTTATATCTATGCCATTTCCTCCCAAAGTATATCATAAATCATGAAACACTGGTAACTTAAATAAGACTTCTTATGCTGCTTATTCATACCATTTATCTATCACATAAATCTGGTATTGATAAAAATAGCTCTTCTCCTTTCCACAAATGATCATCCTTATATCTCTCTTCCCCAAGTTGATAAACAAATAAACAAAACAACAATAAAAGAACAAAATAAAAAAAAGTACTCATGGCACTCCACAACAAAAAAAAATCAGAAAAAAAAAATCAAACATGTTAGTATCTATATAAAGACTTATAATTCATAATAATTCACCCACCTCAACTGAGTACTGGAGTTCATCATCTGTACAATTTGCAATCTTCTTAAACATGTCTTTACAAATGAGAGGAATAATGCCCTCATGTCCTTCCTCTTGCTTGCCCATCATCGTGTAGGACTTGCCAGCCCCAGTCTGGCCGTAGGCGAAGATACACACATTGTAACCTGTGGAGAGAATATTTGGTTTACATATGCTGCTGAAATGTATGATGAATATAAGGAAAAATAATCTAAGATTCTTCATGAGGCACTGTTCTTGTACTAGGTTAGCAATGAATTATATATGTTTTTTTTTTTGTTTTTTTTAAGCAATGCCTATCAGTAAATTGCAGGCTGCTGATAATGAGATATGGGACAGAGGTATAGTATACAGAATTGTATTTGCAATAACCTAGGTTACCTCTGAAGTAATATATAACTCTATTATACTGACACTTTTGTTCTTTGTCATGCATTAATGGAATATTAATCTAAAAATCTATCTACCAGGTACACAAATATGTATATATATGTGTGTGTATGTGTATATGTATATGTATGTTTATGTATATGTATATCTATATGCATATATATATATATATATATATATATATATATATATATATATATATATATATGTATATATATGTATATAATATATGTATACATATGTACATATATGTATATATATGTATATATAAGTATATATATGTATATATATGTATATATATAATATATATAATATATATATATATATATATATATATATATATAAGTATATATATGTATATATATGTATATATATATATATATATACATATATATACATATATATACATATATACATATATATAGATACACACACACACACACACACACACACACACACACACACACACACACACACACACACACACACACACACACACACACACACACACACACACACACACACACACTCTGTTGACTGAATGCAAAGTGGTAATGTATTTCAGAAAACAAACCTTGACCTGCAGAGCAAGATGTATTAATAGGAAATGTGTACATTGCATAAAAAATCAACTTGAATTAAAATATTTACAAAAGACTTGGAGAATACTCACTTATATTTTTCAAACTCACTAATGAACTAGGAAAGTGTAAACAAATATTCAAAATAATCATGACTGAAATTCATATGATGAATTCTAATAAGAGGAAAGGTTGAAACAAAATGAACAGCATCCTTCATAAAGACATTTCTGTAATCATAAAAATATTTCATGCCAAGCAATTTACAGTACTGCAGAACAGCAGAGTTAGAGAACTTTAAAGGGTCATCTATTCCTGTTATGCTAAATATAAGCATCAAAGAAAATCTGAATATTGCTGAACCTAAAGACTACACCTGGAAATGTCTGAATACTTTATCATTAATCTATTTTCTTTGTCAAAAAACAAAAACAAAAAGGAAAACAATGAAGGAAACATACCTGCAAATGCATGGTCTAACATTTCTATGCCTATGTCCCGCATAACATCAGACTGTGTGGCAAAGTTGGGATCTGCAGGCTGCAATGGAAAAGATGTCAGTTTAGTGTAATATTCATATATTTTTGGAATGATAATAGACACATTTAGTGGATATATTAGTGCAGAGAATACAGAATATTTATTACCAGTCTCACTCTACATGTTTATAATTTCTCAGTTTGAATAATTTAATGTAAATGTTCTAGCATTACATACAAAAGAATAAATCATGAAATAAATAATTTCATACTTTAGTATACAAAACAAATTACACATCAGGAAATGAAACACTACAGTTTTATGCAGATACACAAAACACACACACACACACACACACACACACCACACACACACACACACACACACACACACACACACACAACACACACACACACACACACACACACGCAAACACACGCACACACACACATGCACACACACATACACACATATAGGAGGAGTTTGATACTTTATATTCTGATATTTTTTCATATCATCCAAAAGTAAGTGTATGACTATATATGTATATATATCTTCAAAGAAACCTACCATAACCAAATAGCTATTCCATCACCTCTGCAACTAATTTGCCAAAGATTTAGTATGTGTCCAATAACATACATCTATAAGCAAAAGATTATAAATATTGTCAAAAACCAAATATTAATATTGCTGTCATTGCTAAAGTATAATGACAAAAAATAAAGAGTAAAAGACATTGAAATCTAATGCCAGGCTTCTGGTCTTGGCTTTGAGTGTGTTGTCTCCCTGTCAAACTGTTGGTAACTATAATGATCTTGAAAGGCTATCTGCATAATATGATAGCCATTAAGAATTATGTGACAAGTAGGACTCCTGCTTCATCCTAACAGCATAGCATAAATACTCAAAGTTAAAATCATACAACAGGAAAGAGTACAAAGTGATTATGACTCGGTCCCTTATCCTCATCAGGTTTCAATTTAGACCCAAAGTTTCCAAGTTAACTTTGGTTCTTAATGCAAGTAAAATTAGAATCAATACGTTTCTCGTTGCTATGTATTTTAAATATATCTGTCTTTCCTCTCTGAAAGTAAGTATCCATATGGAAGAAAAAGAAATGCTTCTTATCTGGTGAAACCTAGTGACATGGGGGAAACTAACACTAGTAAATCCTACATATTATTCAAATTATCTTCCTTTCCTTTAACTCTATTTCCATAATGGATTTCAAGATGTCTCAATTTCCTTTCATTATATTTTCATATTGAATTTCTTTTCTTCGCGATTAAGTTGTACTCCGATAATACTACAGAAACGTATAAACATTTTTGCGCTAGAATGAAAACTGCAGTAAGTGAAATCTGGCGCACGACAACCCTAGAGTTCAGCACATGGCTTTGTCTTCCAGCTAATATGAGTGTGGGCAGGTTTGTGTGTGTGTGTGTGTGTGTGTGTGTGTGTGTGTGTGTGTGTGTGTGTGTGTGTGTGTGTGTGTGTGTGTGTGTGTGTGTGTGTGTGTGTGTGTGTGTGTGTGTGTGTGTGTGTGTGTGGAGTGAGTGAGTGAGTGAGTGAGTGAGTGAGTGAGTGAGTGAGTGAGTGAGTGAGTGAGTGAGTGAGTGAGTGAGTGAGTGAGCGAGCGAGTAAGAGAGTGATTGAAAGATTGAATAATTGAATGACCGAGTGAGCGACGATGGATGATTGAGAGAAAGACTGAGCGAGCCCATGAGGCTGAATGAGTGACTGAACAAGCACGCGGAACTGCGCCTGCGTGCATGTCTGCAAGGGCGACCGAATGGAGCAAGGAGGGCGCAGGCAGTATGGCGCAGGAGGGGAGCAGAAGGAGCAGATAAGACAGCCGCCCCCGCTGCGCCTGGCCCGGCACACAACCGGACTGTGCACGATCAATACTGTGAATGCCCCCCTCCCCTCCCCTTCCCTCTCCTTCCCCTCTCCTACCCTGGCAGCCCACTCTCCTCCGATATTCGGCTATCTTCCATTCCTCTGCTTCTGTCTCTGTTCTGTCAGTCTTTCTTTTCTCTGTCTCTGTCTCTGTCCCTGTCTCTCCCACTCACTCTCTCTCTATCTTTATCTCACTTTCCATATGCTTCCGTTAAACATATCTTTTCCATTATCCAATTTCTTCTTCTATATTCCCTTCTTCCATTTTTACTCATTCCTCCCTGTCTCATCCTCCTCCCCCTTTCATTTTCTTTCGTTCTCTCCCTTTTTCCATCTCACCCTTTCCTTTCCCCTTCCCTCTCTCCCCTTCACTCTTTTCTGTCCCTCCCTTCCCTCTATCTCTTTCCCAACCCTTCCCCCATCCCTCCTCTTCCCTTCCTCTCCACTCCCCTTTCGCCTTTCTCCCCTTCCCTTCCCCCATACCCTCTCGCCCATCCCCCCTCTCTCCCCTCCCTTTCCCATCCCTCTTCTCTCTCTCTCCCCTTTCCCTCCCCTCTCTGTCCTCTCTCCCCTCACCTTCCCATCCCCTCTCTGTCTCTCTCTCCCCTCACCTTCCCCTCCCCTCTCTCTCCCCTCCCCTTCCCCTTCCTCTTATGAATGGCTCAGTGTCCCTCCTGGCCCACGCACGTACTCCATCACCATACCTGGCCACTCTGTCCCCTGTGGCACCTCCCCCACCTCCCTCTCCTCCTCCTCCCTCCCCACCTCCCCCTCCTCCCCCACCTCCCGCCCCGCCAGTTCCCTTGGTTTGTTTGCGAGGTTTAGCGTCTCCGTTGACTGCCTTGTTTGGCCTGGGGGGTCCTGCCTCTTAATTTTGTTGTGGGTCCCTTCGTTTGTTTGTGACTTCTCTCGTGTGTTGGGGTTGTTTGATGGGGGTTTCTTGTTCGTTCGGTTGTTTAGTTTCACGTTTGTTTGTTTAGTGGGTTCGCTCGTTCGTTTGTTTGATCGTTTTCTTGTTCGTAGGTTGGTTCCTTTGTTCGTTTGTTTGCCGATTCTCTCATTCGTTTGTTTGTTTGCCGTTTCTCTCATTCGCTTGTTTGTTTGCGATTCTCTCATTCGTTTGTTTGTTTGCCGAGTGTACCATTCGTTTGTTTGTTTGCCAATTCTCTCATTCGTCTGTTTACTAGTTCTCTCGAGCGTCTGGTTGCAGGTCAACATCAAGTTTCTTTGTGGATTCCCATTCTTCGTTTATCTGCAAGTTTCTTTAGATGGAACGAATAAACTTGCCTGGTCTGTCTGCGCCTTCAAGTGTTTTCATTATACTCTCTTATATCTTATTCCTTCGCCTGTATCTCTGGATTCGAATTTCGTCCGGTTAACAGCAGAAGGAAAGACAAAATGGAGGGCGACCTTCCGGATGAAGAAACACGTCGACAACGTACGGTTTGGGCGAGTCCATTCTCCACTTTCCCTTTCTTTTTACCCTCCTCCTCCTCTCTCCCTCCCTCTATCCCTCCTCCTCTCTCCCTCCTCCCTTCCTCTCCTCTCTCCTCCCTATCCTTCCTTCTCCTCTCTCCCTCTATCCCCTTCTTCTTCTCCCTCCCTCTATCCCCTCCTTCTTCTCCTCTCTCCCTCTATCCCCTCCTCCTTCTCCTCTCTCCCTCTATCCCCTCCTCCTTCTCCTCTCTTCCTCCATCAACTTCTCCTTCTCCTCCTCCCCCTATCCCCTCCTCCTTATTCTCCTACTCCCTCTACCCACTCCTAATTCTCCTCCCTCCCTCTGTCTCCTCCTCCTCCTGCTTCCCTCCCTCCCTCTACCACTCATCCTCTCCCTCTCCCTCAAACCCCTTCCCTCCTCCTTCCTCTCTCCCTCCCTCCTTCTTCCTTCCTTCCTCCCTCCCTCTCCTGCCCCCCACCCCCTTTCGCCCTATCCCCTCGTGCGTGACCTTGGGCGGCTCCAGAAATTAGGTCAGGTTCCCGCACAGCCCTGCCAGCTGTCACAAGACCCGCTGCCTCCCGCCTTTGCCTTCTCTCCCCAGGGCGTGGCGACGGCGGGGCAGCAGGAGGAGAAAGAGGAGATGGAGGGGGAAGAAAAGGAAGAGGAGAAAGAGGGGGAGGAAGGGGGAGAAAGGGAGGAGGAGAAAGAAGGGAAGGAAGGGGGAGAAAGGGAGGAGGAGAAAGAGGGGAAGGAAGGGGGAGAAAGGGAGGAGAAAGAAGAGAATGAGGGGGAAGATGGCAGGAAGGCGGGGGAAGGAGGAGGAGGAGGAGGAGTCGAAAAGAGGAAACACAAAAAGAAAGGAAGAAGAAGAGAAAGGAGGAGGGGGGGGGGAAGAGGAGAAGAAAAGGAAAAGTAAGATGAATAGCAAGAATAAAATAGAGAATGGAAGGAAATAATGATGATAAGGAATCGTCGAAGCTATCGGCCCCGGGAAGTCCCCATTTAAAGCAGGTCGAGCGACGTGTGTTTCCAGCCCCCCCCCCCCATCACACACACAAACGCACATACACGCACATACACACTCCGGCGGAATCGATAGGCCCCGCTGCGAAAGAGGGATGTGTATGTCTGTGTGTGTGTGTGTGTGTGTGTGTGTGTGTGTGTGTGTGTGTGTGTGTGTGTGTGTGTGTGTGTGTGTGTGTGTGTGTGTGTGTGTGTGTGTGAGTGAGAGAAGAGAGTAAGTGAGTGAGTGTGTGCGCGTACGCATGTGCGTGCACGTGTGTGTTTTGTGTATTCTAGTCTCTGTTCATGACTCTGTGTGTTTGTGTATTTAGTGTTTGTGTGCGTGTGCGTACGATTCCACGCGGACATGTATATCTACACCATTCCGAAACGGAAAAGCCCCCCCCCCCCCCCCGCCCCCATGCAAAACCGACCCCTTCTATGATATATCAGCCCTCGGAAATACTTTGCCAACGTGACCTATCTCAAGAGAGGGGGAGGGGGGGGGAGGGATGGCCTGGAAGGGGAAAGGGGGGGGGGGCGGGGGGATAAGACGGGAAAGTAGGTCACCGGTGCCAAGGACGGGGATAAATAAGGGGAGGAAAGGAGAAGAGGAAGAGGAGAAGATGACAGTGGGATAGATGATAGATAGATAGATAGATAGAAGGAGAGAGAGAGAGAGAGAGAGAGAGAGAGAGAGAGAGAGAGAGAGAGAGAG